GTGGCACTGTTTCTGTCCTCTGTTAAAACCCTTCCAAGATATTTAAATTTCCGCACTTGTTTGATTTTGGTATCTCCGACTCGCACTTTGGGCTCATTCTTTTGCTAACAACCATGAATTATGTCTTCTTGCAGTTAGTGTTTGATCCTCTATTCTCACTTACCTTTATGCGATCATAGCTCTTCACAACTTCCTGTCACTTGTAGCTCTTAATAAACTTTTTTTCTGTTATTTCTCCTTGACCCTGTTCCGCCATCTATTTATTCAAGCTCATTATGTTATCCGTTATTTTCCTCTGCCCCTCTTGCCCTCTATCTGTCCCGTGAGTATCAGATTTTCCAAGCCTTCTTTTCTCATTATATGCCCCAGACACCTCAACTGCCTCTTCCTGGTGTTAAGTATACATTTCCTTTTTGTTTCCTTTTTCTTTAAAACTTTGTCATTGCTCATATGTTCGGGCAAGGGTGTCCTCAGCATCCTTCTGTAGAAGCACACTTTATCTTTGAAGAGATCGTCCAGTACTCACTGACACACAGGAGGACACATATCACGTACGAGTTTAGTACTCCTCTTTTCCTTGTTTGTACGGAAATTTTCCTATTTCTTAATACTCTGCTTAGTTTTAGGAATGATTCCTTGACTACCCCAATACGCCTTCGGATTTCCGTGTCGCTTTTTCCGTCTTCTGTTCGAACACTTCCTAGATAGTTAAAACTTAGAATCGTATATGAAAACGAAACGAAGTCATCACAACAGAAAACAAAGAGTAAAAAAATAAAAAACCGAACTTTTGACAATAGAGAACCGCTAAAAATTATTAAATAAGGTGAAAATAAATGATTTGTTTCTATGAATTCTTTTTTTTACAAAAAAAAAAATGAAGGGAAGTACAAAAACAGGAATGATGAAAACGAAGTCATATATGATATAAGCTGTTTATTTAAGTAATGCTTCCATGTCTCCATCCAGAACCATTCTTTAATAGACACTTCGTTAAAATTATATTGTTTACGTTGATCGTTATTAGACAAATCTTTGAACATTAAAAAGTTATTACGCACAAGCAGATATTTTCTCATTGTTACTATATTTTATAGCGTTGGTGCATAATTATCAGGCGTTTTTGTAAGCGAGTTATTTGTTAATAAATATTGTGGTTTTGTTTACTTTTTTTTAATAAAAATATTATTTTATTTTCAGGTTATAAAATGCGTATCGATAATCATACTCATTTTAAAATACTATATTATTATAAATTTTTATGTACCAGAACAATGTTATAAACATTAATAACAATGTGAAATTTCTTTTTATTTAACGCGTTTCGTCTTTTAGGAAATCAATTGTATGCCTTCAACTACAGATAAAAATTATTGCTGGTTATTTTTTTATAAAATGTATTATTGGTAATTTTACTATAAAATATATGGTTGGTATATCTTAATATATATTGGTTGATTTTATTTAGCGGCATATCAATATATGGGTTGTTTAATGCCGAAATCTAAAAATTTTTAACACAATTTTATGCCTTCAATTAAAGATATTTTGAGCTACATATAAAAATTATTGCTGGCCATTTTGTTATAAAATGTATTATTGATAATTTTACTATAAATATGTATTATTGGTTTGTTTGTTTAACGACACATCAACTTCTTATGGATTATTTAATGCCAAAATTTAATTTTTTGTGAATTTGAGTAATCTTTTTTTTTACGAAAATCTGTTGCTGGTATTTTACTATGAAAATGTATTTTTAAACACTCAGTTTTTTACCCCAGTTTGGGGCTTCACTATTTGTCCTTATTTTGGACCCTAACAGGTGCTACTACTCCGGGTAAGGGTAGATCTGGGAACAACGGCAATTAAGAGGTGGTTTCACACTCCTGATCAGAGGCTTTGCTGCTGCATGAAGTTTATGGCTATACGCACGGCGGTGTATTGTTGATATATTCACTATAAATATGTATTGTTGGTAATGTTTACATAAAAATGTATTGCTGGTATTTGTACTGTAAAAATGTACTTTCATAGTATTTTGGTTTTGTTTGTAGGTTCACTATTTACCCCTAACTGGGACCCTAACAGGTGCTACCACCTCGGGTTAGGGTGGACCTGGGATCAACAGCAATTAATAGGTGGTTCCACACTCTTGAAAACTTCCAATCTCCCGATCAGAGGCCTTGTAGTTTATCGTCATACTCAGGACTGCTGTACACGGTACGGTGTGTCTTAGCTGTAAAGGTCTGAACTGATGTAAAATTTTTGCTCTGATCTGACTTCCCATTTCTAGGTTCGTGTCTGAAGTTAATATTTTGAGACAGTTACATGTTTAAGAAAATTTTGAATTTTAAAAAAATATATTCTCTAAATTTGTTCATAAGTCAAATGTACTATCGAAAAGCATCTGCTTACCTCATATATAAAATCTTTGCTTTGTAGCTTATTTTTGCAGTTGAATAAATGAAAGCGCCATTGGCTTTCTTTAAAGAAGGCTTACGGCTACATCATGTTGAAACACTGCTTCTCCTACGATCACGGAAGTTAAGCAACCTCGAAGCTAGTTAGTACCTACATAAGTGGCCGCTTGTGAATACCAGGTGCTGTAAATTTGGATGTGCGGGTGGTGTCATGGATAACGGTTCGGAATTGGAAATCCCAGAGCCGAGTTCCAATTCCAGTTAGGTTCGTTATATTTATTTACGTGCAAATACCATCGGGAAAGGTATGAATCCAGCTGTATTATCCCCAGCTATGGGTTAATTATTACGATTGTATATGGTAAATCATTATCTTAAAAAGACTCTAACAATCGTGTACAGAAGAAAATGGTGATATTCTCCAAAGGCTAAAAACGCTTTCGTGTCGCATGCTTCTTTTGAAGAAGAAAAAGAAGAAAGAAAGAAAAACGTTTCACCACTGGATGAGGTCAACGAATTCATGTAAATTAGCTTCTGCTAATCAATCGTGGTTCAAGTTTTACCGAGTGGAATGGATTGGATAGAAAAATATGCTAATCCATTTCTATTTTCCACAAATCGAAAAACAGATAAGGGTCCAACAAAGTGCTATAACATCAATTGACTTTTCCTACACGTAGGGATTTTTGCCAGGAGGCTCTGTGTGTGTGTGTGTGTGTGTGTGTGTGTGTGTGTGTGTGTGTGTGTGTGTGTGTGCATGAAGATTTGGACTTTGTAAACTTTTATCTTAGGGTGAATTAATATTTACGATAAGTAAATTTACATCATTTAGGATAAATTAACAGCAAAAATCCAATTTTTTTCTGCCCACCATTTACAAAATTCCGTTAGGTAGATTATTCGCTACTTTTTTTCTGTCCCTCTCGCCTCCAATATGTCCTGTGGGGGATCATATTTTCTAAGCCCTCTGTCCTCATTATGTACCTTAGAAATTTCATCTCTCTCTTTCTGATTCTAAGTATAAATGTCCTTTCAGTTTACATTTTCCTTAAAATTTCGTAGTTCCTCACATGTACAGTTCATGCTATTCTCAACAAACCTCTATAAAAACACATTTCTCAAAATCTATTCTTCATCTGTGAGGAGGTTTCCAGCATTCACTAGCATATGAGATGACTGATATTACCTAACAGTTCAGTACTCCTTTCTTTATTTTTAACGAAATGTTACTGTTTCTAAATACTATGCTTAACTTTTAGAAGGATATACTACATCCGACAGCAATACATCTGATCAGGAGAATGGAGGTTTTGAGGAGCATGGAATCACTTCTTAATTGCTATTGTTCCCAGGTTCACCCAGACCCAGGTTGGTAGCACCTGTTAAGGTCCCAGCTATGGGAACTCACAAATATGTGAGCTCACAAACAAAAACAAAAACTATGAAAATATAAAAATATATTTTATAGCAAAAATACCAGCAACACATCTTATTACTATATAAAACTCTGTGAACTTTGTATCTTGTGTGTATGCCAGAAGTCATATATAGAGAGTTGGGAAAAGAAAGATGTAAATTTATTATCGTGTAGGAAGTGGGGTATAGAGCCGATTTTCTTACGAGAATGTGTATAAAACACACGAAATCCGGCCCCAAACAGGATATGCACAGCTGTCATCAACGTCCACGCCACTCTCGCTTGTGAACATGCTGAAAGCGCCAGCGCTGACAAACATCAAAGAGGCCGCTTCACACTATGGCAACACCATCCACAGTAAGAAACAATTTCTATTTTTGTATGCTCTTTACTCTGAACCATGCACACACGTGTTGACTTTTTCACACAAACATACGCATATAACAACATTTCATTGTTTCTCACATACGTACACAAAGTGAATTTATATTTTATTTCAGAATTTTATCAACTCAAACAAAAAGACGTTACTTTCCAATCTGTAACCGACTGCTTGTATTCTTGTCGTTACATTAAATAACTTCATTTGTTGAAACTACGTTGTCTTTTCTACTGAATTTTATTCTTTCAATGAAAATCCTTTGATTATTCTAAACGGCCGAATTACGCGCAGACCCGCAACAATATTTTATGTTATTGTATCGAATCCCAAATTTTGACATTCCAATCTCTTATTATTCAACTTACTTCAAACAGACATTAAAAAATGTTGAAAGCAACTTCAATAACTGCAAATAAATGTATTTTTAAAGTGTCTCTACTTTCACAAACTCTTCATGAAACTAAACGTAAATAGTAAACACAAGTTTAACCCAACGGGTCACGGGTAGGTTAGTTTTTATATAAAAATAATGACTGACAATAGTTATTTATAGCAGAATTGCCAACAATACATATTTATCTGAAGTTGAAGGCATGAGATTGTGTTCAAAATATTTAGATTCCGACATTAAATAACCCACAGAGATTGATATGCCGTTAAATAAAATCAACCAATCAATTTTTGGAAGGCGTCTTCCGTTCTTCCAATGCGCCTTCGGATTTTGGTGTCACAATTTCTGTAAAAGAAAGAAACAGGACAGAGGTTGTGGAGGGGAGAAATTTAATAAAATCAATGTTTATTGAGAGCATGTTGGAATATGGATAGTTCTACAGTTAGGGGTTGTCTTATTTCTTTTTTGATGGACAAACGACCAGGCTAGATTTTTTTTTAAGTTGTAGAAAAAGCAGAGAAGTTTTTTTTTTTTTTTTTACTTCAGCCTTGTATTGTCACTGGTATCTTCAGGGATATATGCGTAACCTTTCATTCTTTCGACTTTAAATCTAGGCTGATTTTAAAATTTGCAGGAGGAGCATGATTTTGTATATCTTGGTCGCAAGCTATCTTGCAAAAACGAAGAAGAAGTTGCAGTAAAACACCGAATAATCTTTGGCTGGACTACTTTTGGGAAACAAAAAGGTATGCTAAAATCAACAAGAGTACCAATCCATATTTAAACGAAGATGTACCTTATATACGTACTTTAAGTTGTTTTATGTGGTTCAGATTGTGTAGCAACAAGGTATGCTAAAATCAACAAGCGGACAATCCACACTAAAACAAAAATATATATATATATATATATATATATATATATATATATATATATATATATATATATATTCTTCAATTGTTTTATATGGGTTAGATTGTGTGGCATGAACTTAAAAATGTAAGTTATTTCTTTGACGCATTATAAAGAAAGAGGGTTTTAAAAATTCGACACTCGTAGGACATATCGGAAGCAAAAGCAGGCCATCTACATGACTTGTATAGATGGATAGCGGAATTGATAATTGTTAAAGGCAATTTTTTTTTATTATATTATTGTTGCTTTTCATCAGGGTTTTCGAAATTCGTGACCGCAAAAAATGGCTTGTCAAAAGACAGTTTTTCCGTTGACACCGCTATTATTTTAATTACTTTCACTCCTCGGTAATGATCATTATTTTAAAAAGTGATGATTAGAATTGTAATAAAACCTAAACATATGATGAAAGTGAATTTATATATTATTTGATCTTGAAGATTGCCGTGTATTGGCTCCATCTATCTTCGCACACACTCTGACCAGCTACCCTTTCTCTGTTGAAGAAAAGCATCCCCACAACATGATGCTGTCACCATCGTGTTTCACGATGGAGATGGTGTGCTTGGTGTGACGTGCGGTCTTAGGTTCCCGCTACATGAAGCGTTTTGAATTAAAACCAAAAAGTTCAGTTTTGGTTTCATCTGAGCCTTTTATGTGCTTGCTGTGTCTACCGCATTGCTTGTGGTTTGAGGAGTCCACAACTAATAGTTGCCATGTAGACATATACTCCCATCTGAGCTCTGGATCTTTGCAGTTCATCAAGAGTTACCCTGAACCTCTTGGTTGCTTCTCCGATTAATGCTCTCCTTGCCCGGCTTGCCAGTATAAGTGTGCAGCCTTGTACGGTAAGTTTACGGTTGTGTCATACGTTTGCCATTTCCGGACGATGGGTTTAAAAGAGTCCCGCGAGCTGTTCAAAATATCGGATATTTTTTTTATAACCTAACCTTGCTTTATACTTCTCCACAAATTCATCCTTGATCTGTCTAGTGAGATGCTGTTTGTTTGATAATACTCCCCAACAATTCTCTGAGGCCTTCATTCATAGAACAGGTATATTTAAATGGAGAGTCCTGAATCAAGGGTCGTAACTCTTTTACCATTCTTTTCTTTCCTCAAAAGAAACCGTCATAATCAAGTGGACACTTTTCACTAATTATGTGAATTCTGAAGACAAATGGCTGTCCTTTTTTATCGTGTTCACTCCAAGGAAGGCAATAAAACTACTAAGACAACAAATTACTATGGAATAACTAGTTTTGGTTCGATGCTGAGGTTTATGGATAATTATTGAAGTTTAGCAAAGATGCTTAACAGACTTAATTCTTTAAAAATATTCAGTGGAATAGCTGATATTTGAGGTTTTACCTTGAATGGCTGAGGTGTCGTTTTTGACACCTAGTCTATTTATAGGGTAAATGCATTGAAAAATTTCTCACAAGCAATAATACTTGTGTTTATGTCCCCTATCCATCTATTTATCTATCTAACTATACACACACACATAATTTATATATATATAATCACTTTCTTTCAGTATGAGGTATACTAATATTTGTGAATTTCTTTTCAGACTTGTTATTCCTGACTTGAATATTGAATATATTAAAGATGGCTGCTTCACGGCGTAATGGAAATAAAGATGTCAAAGGAGCTGGCCATCCTAGTGTTAAAACCATCTATTCTATCTTCTTACAATTCCGAGTTGAAGTATTTTTTTTTTTATAAATTTTTGCCATGTCTTTTCATCATCTTACTATTGAATTTCTTACTATCAGAATTTCCTTTTCAACTGTTCTCTTTTAATCGTCTCAGGGAACCATTTTACCTTCCATCAGCATGGCTAATGCTAACCTCAAGGAGAGTAGTTCATTGCACTTTCTTGTTCTAACTGAATTGGAACGATTATATTGAGTCAATTGCTCGGACTGCTGCTGCAAAAAAAATGTTGCTTAAGGCGTTGGGCTAGACCAGTGTTTCTCAACATTTTTAAGCAACGGCACACCGACCGAGCGTCAAATGAAAAAATCGCGGCACGTTTAGCAAATTTTTAAACGGTATACATTTATATGTTATGGAAT